TTGCATTTCCTACTCCAAGCTAATAGATTGTCAAGTGTTACTTGGCATCATCATGTTCTCCTCTATACATTCATAAATCTAAAAGGTTACTTTTTATGTGCTACAAAACACATATCTACTTACCTAGTGCAGTTAGCTTACAATACTGTGAAACATCAGTAGAAAATAACAGAATGTTGTTTCTACCTGATGAAAGTGAAAAGAGCAAAACAATACAAAAAGTAACTTTTGCACAGTAGTTTAACTCCTGACCAGCAGAGGGATGCTAAAATACCTTTAAGGATCAGCAGTCCTCTGCTAACAATAGTTATTAATTTTACAATGTGATTAGTCTAATTTATCATACAGAATCAGTACAATATGGGCCTGTTTTGAGGCATGATGGACAAACATAAAAATACTCAAAGTTTTATTGAGATTTAATGTTTAAAGCACTGGCATTCTGGTTATTTTTAATTACTTGTAACATAGCTCAGGTACTTAAGTAATGCATTACCATTAAAATGCAGATTTGTCTAAAACATGTTTGACACACCAATGAGCGGTGGGGAAAAGCAATTACAGATATTACCCAAAACACATTTCAGCTTGATTTTCCATATCAAGCTAGGATTGTGGTCTTATGTCACATTTTGTGCTTTTGCCATGTGAAGTACTGACAAGGTACTTAACTGACTTTAAAAAGCTTTTCAATTATTGTATTCATTTTTCAAACACCAAGAGTGAAATGCCAAAACAATGCCCTAGAACTCCAATGTAAAAAAAAAAATCAGTTTTGAGCTAGCTAGCTCCCGGTTTAACATTAAACCAGTTGTTTTAGGCGACCTATTTTGATTAAGGAAAGCAATATTTTTTTGCACCAGTCAGTAGTCAACATGTTTCCCCAAATAGTTTGAAAATGTGGAAAAAACAAAAACCTGACCTGTGAATGACTGAGCAATACACACTTTCCCATAAATGATGCTTAAGTAAATTATTCAGTAGTGGATTGTAGAAATACAAGTAAACACCCAAATTTATGTTTAATGCTCCCCTGAAAACAACAGCAAAACATTAGCCAATTCTTATATAAACAAGATTTTGTTTTTAAAAATAGCATTTTAAAAATAAACTAGATTTGTGTAACAGATAGATAATAAAAACAAGGGTATTAACATGTCCTTATAACATCTGTGGTATATAATTGGAAAACTGAAAAAAGAAATTAAGCAAGTGCAAATGTGAGAAGCATTCAGTTTGAACTTGACTGCACTAGAATTTCTGAAAACAATGCCACATAGAATTAATCATAAAATCCCAATTCCCTCTCATGGTAGCAGGTTGAGCTCTGTCAAGTTTTTAAATCCAGTAATTTCTCAAGCCTCAGAAAGCTTATAGAAGCTTCTTGTAGTCAAAACGCATACTATCACAGAATCATGAGGAATGTCACAGAAGTGTCAGAAGATAAGGTATGAGATATCAACCTCAGCAAATTTAGTTGCAGCTGCAAGCAAACTACTGAGAGACCCCAATTTCAACTATGGCTGTTCATCATACTGTAGTTTAACCCTAGTGGCTCCTACCTCACTAAGAAAGAGTAACCATAAGTGCCATCAGGAAAGTGGTGTTAGACTAATTCGTACCAATGGCAACAGTAAAGAACCTTCAAAAGAAAAATTCTGTTCTCATGATGAAATATCAACTATCATTTGAGATCATTATACAGTATATGAATCTGTAGTAGATTTCCAAGGTAAGAAAATAATGAGTTTGTCAGATACCAACTTATTTACTCCTAAGTAAATCGGGACCAATTATGTCGTAGGAAGAAACAAACTGAGTTTGGGGGCAGTGTCACTGGCGACATGATTTACACAGAAAGAAGCAGTTCATGTTAAAATATAATTATTAATATTGTTATAACATAGGAAGGTGGGTCTGTTTTATGTCTACTGTTCTTAGTTTCTTTGTTAGGATTGAGGGATTCTAAAAGGATATTTTATTAAACAACTTAATTCTCTGTGCTAAGATGTTCAAGCTTCTTCAGAAATGTACTTTCCAGCAAGATTTTCCTTCAAAGCTACTGCCAAAAGGTTAAAGGAGCATAAAATCAACCTTCAAGATTAACAAATCACAATTTCCAAGCCTTAATCCAATAGAACATTTGTGGCATGAACTGAAGGACCTGGATAAATTAAAGAAAATGTGCCTAAATTATTAGAAAGTGCTGTAAAGTTAAAAGTTTCTGGAGCCTTTTATGTTATTAAAGCTAAAAGAGGCTTAATTACAGGAGTGGGGTATAGATAATCCAATCAAATAAACAGACTAGTGAATGTGTAAAAAATGTATTTACTTTGGATTATTATTGTGGTAAACCTTACATTTTTTTAATGTTGACCTCAATGCAACAAATACTGACGATACAGTTTTTTTTCTTTATACAATCAACTCAGTAACATTGAATCAAGGAACAATTATACAAATTTGGAGTATGAACAGATAGCTTAAATGTCAAATGAATACTTGCTGCACTTATTTTATCAAATTATATTCACTGTGCTGCACAGCATATATGGAAACTTGATATTGTAGTTTAAACTTAATAGTTTCCAGAGGTTAATGATATTCTCAATCACAAGAAAAAAAAACTTACCAAAACTTTGAGTTCAACTTGAAACAAGTTGGTATATGTCACCTCAAAAGCCTGACATACTTTGAATAACCCTAGTGTTCTGCATGATCATTCCTCAACAAATATTACCTAGCTTGCACTCCACAGGGTAGGTTGCTGAGCAACCTGCTTCCCTTCCCAAGTGCAGGACACAGAGCTCTGTTGTCTTCAAGGAATGCATGACTCCATTTACACTTTGCTAACGGACGTCTACCTTCAGCCCATGAATGTAATGTCACCAAATTACTGAGGAGGAATAGTAGAACAAATACTGCCTGCAGACATTTGAATACTGATGTGATGGGAAGAAAATCCAAATCCAAATTATCAATTGCTTTCTAAAATTCCTGTCTAGTTTTATTATACAAGTTGAGTTTGTTTCCAAGGAACACAAAATTACATTTATATTAGAAAATGTCTAAATCACAACTTTATTAATAATTAGTTATAAATTACATAATAAGCAGAGCGTATTAATAAGCAGAGTTCTGAAACTCAGCAACTGCAACAGGGTTCCCATAACCGTACTAACAAGGTCAGCATGAACTGACTTATTCATACTAATGGCACAAAGGGGAAAGACCTGAGAATAGATGAAAATCTTTTAACTTCTAAGAACATGCGTCTCACAAGACAAGAGGAAACTCATGCCATCCTCTACACCTGATTACAGGTAAACTACTTGATCTGAGAAATTTCATCCATCCCTTTCTTAAAAAAATACCAAGGAATTATCTTCAACAACATGGCTGGGGAGCTGGCTTCCACATGTGAGCAGAGCATTATAAAATGTACGAATTATTCAAAGTGCATTTTAATAAATCAAGAGAAAGACGATGATGATAAGATTTCTATCAAGGGTTGGTATCAAATTCAGAATTTCTGGCATGTAATACTGTTCATCGTTCCTTCAGCCCCTGTTCAAACTACATTGAAGGCCAGTGATCTTTCCATATTTAGGAATTTGGCAATTGCATACCTTTTGATGACTTCTAATAGGCTGCATCACACCTATTCCTTACGACTTAGAATGCGAGTCTGTTGAATACAAGCCATTGTCTTTTAATGCACAAGTGGCCATTTAGATGATGAAACATATTGACAGAAAGCTTTATTAAAATGTCTTAATGATAATATGGTAATGATATTCTCAATAACTGTCAATGAATTGAAACTCAGATTGGACTACCTCTTTTACATTAACGTACATTCAAATTAAACACTCATTTCCCATTTTACATAGAAGAATTGGAGAAAACCAATCATCATATCATGAACTTGGATGATAGACAAAACCTCATGTAATAGTATGCAGTTATGGGTTTATGCTGTTACTTAAATAACTTGCTAAAATATGAATTCATATTAACAAGATAAATGATCATAAGCATGTACATTGTTAACAAGTGATAGCAAGTGAGCACCATATGCAGGCACGGGAATAAAACTTTTGCCATGATTATGTCTCCACTCAAACCTGGCACAGTGTGTGGTACCTCCTCCAGCTGAATGGAGGCATACACCTGAGTGGGCTCTCCACATGAATTTAGAACTTTGGAATGCTGTTGTTACCTTGGAAACAGTATGGTTTAAAAAAAACAACTTTCAGTGCTGTTTAACCTATGAAAATATGCCCATTCTTCAGGTGAAGTTTTATAAAAAGTCTGATCTTAATTACCTTGAAGGAGTACAAGAGTAGTCAGTCCACTGATAAAGTATAGTGAAGTGCAATAATCTGGAATTCTGACTGTAAAGTATTTCGTAATTGTACATATCAAATAATTAGCCATACTTTAATTCAGCAAAATTTTGAAGTTTCTTATTATTCCTTTAAAGCTCGTTTCAATTACAAAAGAAGCAACAGCACAATTTTAGCCTACATATGTATAATTATATTTAATTTTCTGAGCTTCATATGCAATGTGAAAGGATACAATTAATAGAATGGATACTTTATAATTTTATATACAGTTTACAAACTGCTTTAAAGTTGATAAAGTCTACTTTTGAATAAATTCTACCTACAAATCAATTAGGCAAACATGATAAGTAAGCCTTTTTAATTCTTAAATGTCAATTATACTACAAGATTTCTTCCAGGGGCTTGTGACAGCATTAAACACATATGAGACCACAATTCACAACAGTGAATCAATTCATCTCGATGCAGATGGAGAATGTTAACTGCAAATGCTGGTAACTACAAATTCAGACATTTAATGCTTATAGTTTCAAATTATTTTAGGTCACCCAGTTATTAGTATGATGCACTCTTTTAGCACAAACATTACATGAATAGGACACAGACAAAAAAAGTACTTCAGGGTTAAAGCAAAAGTGAATTAATTACCTGCAATACTCCCGTTAATCTGTGCTGTTTGAGCCATGACTGCACCCGTTCACTGTCAAATCCACAAAGACATTTAATGGAGTCATGCAAATGCCATGCATCAAGTCCAGCTTACCATGCAACCTGCAACAGGAAAAAAAACACAATTCTGAAAAGACATTCAATGCAGTAGTACTGTGCCTCTATATTATTTGCATAGACATTTAACCAGCACAGGCAAACACTTGAAAATTCTTTGCATACTTGCATTTGTAAAAGCCCAAGGACAGCATTATTTAACATCAAGCATGGCAGTGTGAGTCAAGAACACTAGAAAGGCTAGCCTTTCTGACTTTTGGTTGAACACCCTTCTTCCTAGTAGATAACCTCTTGGAATTCCAACAATACAACAATGTTCAAACAAAAAAAGATGATATTTTTCCAGATATGCTGCTTATAGCATGACTGACATCCTCACAATTATTTCATAAAATGTGTCCTCTCCAACAACTAACTTTAAAGGCACATGTGAATTATGCATATTGGTACAATCATGTAGGATAATTGCATACATTGGAATGTACATTGGAAACCTGTCACATTGTGAAGTATACTAGAGATATACCGTCTACAAAAGTAATCACAAACCACGGTTTAATTTTAACAAGCTCAACAAATCAAATCTTCATTTCAACGTCCCCTCATTCCATTTTTGTAACCTCTTTTAATTCACGGCTGACCATCTTATTCCATTCTTCTTTACTTTCCCTCTTTCTGTATTTGTTTATGGTTTTCCACTTGGAAATTATCAGCGATAGTTGTCACAGACTCTTGGCAGCAATTAACTACTTTCCATTTTATTAATGTACAAGTCAGTTTTCTGGCAATATTATAAGCAATTTCATATTAGAAGAAACTAACGAAGAAAATAACTGACTCAGTAACATGAGTGAATTCTGCAAATGTTACAAAACATTGTAATGAGTTACAGTAGCTTGTCTTTTTCTGCAATATCACAACCTTGCACTATACATCAAACAGGCTGCCTAATAACTTTTACAATCCCCAATAAGTGTAAAATGCTAACTACTTTGTTTTTTTATATGCATAGTATCTGTAAGTTAAGAAATTCCTTTTGTGCTTGAGAAGCTGTTTAAAGATGGATCACTGACCTCTAACTCTATCAGAAGTACCGCTAACAGATAAGGAGCTCTCCTTTGAATACTTAAGGGCCTTTACTGGGAATGTGAAGTCTATATAATTATTTTCTGAAATCACTGATACCATAACTTATCAAAAAAAGCACAAGACTTTTTGTAGAAAAAAAATTAACCAAATTCTAAGCTGCAGAAAATGCTTTAAGAAACTGTATCACAATATTAAAGTGAAACAATCTTTCAGTAGTTTAACCTAGTATGACAACTACAGAAATCTCAGAACAACATGTTACCAGCAAACAGATAAGCAAGAGAAAATGGCCAATCTCACAAGCAATCTCATTTTCCGGCAAGTTTAATGGGACAGGATTTCTGTCTGAAAGTGTAACACAATGATAAGGAAAACTAAAACATATATGTTTATCACAGCATTCAGCCAGGCCTTCTCGCCCTACAACAGTAAATTTAGAATGTCTAATGCAGAAGTATAATATTCTGTACACAGCCCCATTCTTTAACAAGTTATAACAGCACCCACTAAGCGATTTTTAAGCAGATAAGCAGTACATCAAATCTCTGTGCATTTAGAAAAAATAAACATAACTGTTTTTGGTATTCCTCTCTATTTTTTCTTTCCCTTTCTTTTCTGTGAAGCTTAATCATGTATCCTGCCTTAAATTCTAACGAATCAATCATGATTTATAATAATCTGGATGCTAGGCTAATTACACTTCCACCTGAAACTAAATCAATCCCGGCTTTTACAGATCTTGTGCAGTATGCATTTAAGACTCCTCGGATATAATTCAAAAGACAGACAAGTCCTGCTGTCTGTAAATATCAATGTCTGGTATTGCAATTCTTATTTTATCTCTATTCTCAAAATAGACCTGCTCTGTAGTATGGTATAAATGGAGCACATCAATCAAGTGATTATCTGACATCTTTAAATACATTATATAAAAAGCTCCAAGCATTTTAAGAGCTTTCAAGCATCACCCCCCTCCCCTCTTAATTCCATATTAAATTAACAGTTTGCAGCATGTTTAATTTTACCAAATGTCAGGTAGTTCAAAACAACTTGCATACCACACTAGAAAAACATTCAACTCCTGACATGTTCCAGCTCATAAATTCCTTGAGGAAACAGCAAAGTGCCACAGAAACAACCTGGCATTTATGAATAAAATAAAACTGGAAACTAGTGTGCAGTGATCACATCTTTAATTCTCTGCAAAACAGAGTCTGCAAGAGATGCCTGAAAATGTAAACAATCCATTGCCTTTGTTACCTGTTGATAATGAAAATAAAGTACCAAGTTTCTTATGTAATGTAAGCTGTCAGCATCACGTTTTTTTAGAAAGAGAAATGTTTCATTATTATTTCTGTAGAAAAAATACAGACAACACTTAATAAAATGGTTTAAAGCAAAAATGATAACCATTACTGCGAACCATGCACTGGAACAGACAGGCTGAAGGTCCTCATGGGCAAACCAGTGTTTAAGGAGAGGTTCTTTTTGTTGTCAGCACCCCAAATCACACACTACTCCCAAGAGCCTGTGTGCCTGGCCAGTCACCTGAAATGAACCCCACTGACAATGTGTGCTCGATCCTTTATTGTACCATACTGCATTTCTTATCTCAACACCTACCACTGAAAAATTCATGTTGTTGCTGTATTTGTCACAGCTGATAATTATGTGATTGGAGAAATTCCGATAGCTCAAATTAGAGGTGCATGCTGAATAATATTGTGGGCTATACTCCACTAGTTCTGCATATACACATTACTCACAAAATATACCAATAAGGAGGTGTCTTACTGTACATGAATGGAGCACATTGAGGCCTTATCTCAATCACAATACTAGCTCTGCTTCTCAATGGCAGCAGCATTTTAAGGGTTGTAATGAAGGCACAAATAACTCCTCATATTTCACACATTTGGAACAAAATGCTAGATCATTTACTTTGCTTGAATTTATGAGGAAACCTCACAAATGAAAATTTAGAACTATAAGCCAAATTTACGTGATGTTAGTTTTCCCCACCACAAAGTGACAATAGATCAAGACAAATGTTGGGGAGTATCAGAAAATAACATATTATGTTGGAATTCCATGTTTGGTAAAGTAATCTCATTTCATTTCAAGCTTGACATGACAGGAGGGCTACCTTCAAAAACAACTAAGGCATAGATATAGAAATAAAGAATTTATGATGTTTGAATGTCAAACACACACCAAAATCATTATCCAAAGTAAGCTGAGATCTGCTTTATTTTAAAAGGTGAAAATAAGTGGGAAACATGGCTGTAAAAGCACATGTACGTCTAATCTGGGAACAAGCATAACAATCCTGTATGCTACTTTATACATACATTAAAAAAATCTCCAAGTAACACAGCGTGCATTACGTGTACCCAACAACAGCATTTCAAATAAATTTCAAAGCTTCCTGCATCTGTATATAGGTGGTCTCTTCAATATGCATAAATGAAAGGGCTAAATTAATTTAACAAAACAGTAACGATTTATTAGTGTTCTAATCACAGGCATTAAAAGAAATTGGTGAGAACATACATGCCATTACCAAAAGTCCAAAAACCTCTACAGAACGGAACCCATGCGAGTGAGTCACATACAATTTAAGAAGCACGTTATTTCTCATTTGTGTACAGTGTATACAGAGTGAACACCCTAGTACCTAAATGCATAAATTGGCATTATTAAAAACATAAATTGCAAATGTGAACCTTGCATCATACCTTGTTCAAAAAGCCTCAAATAATCATAGCACATTTTGAGCAGAATCTGTGACTTTGCCTTTTAAGAAGGTTTAGAAATATTTTAAATATATATACCATAACAAAATGAACCTTCACCTCTAACCTTTTCTGTTCCTTCCTGGCCATGGTCATGGCCATAACCAGGCAATGACAGCAAACTGTCATAAATCTTCAGACACTTCAATCTTTTCACTAGTTTTAGATATTAAACGCAGCATTCATCACTTTGTAGTAATGATAGAGGCATGGGGCACATGCTCCATGTAGGGTTAAGTTATGAATAATTGAGTAATGTAGAGATAAGGATGTCAGGGTCTCATGACAGCATATGACAAGTGTTTTCAATTAAGCCCCAGATAACAAAGGTGAACAGTACCACACGTTTTAACTTTTAACCCTGTTAGGCATCCTTTCCTATAACTTTTAAAATAGATATTGCACACATTTTTACCATACACTTTTAAAAGCATTACAGTAGTGTGTGTAGGTGTACATGAGTGTAAAAAAGTCTAATACTGTACAGAATAAAAACTACAACTTCCATTCATCTTTAAAAAAATATTCAGCTATTAAAACTCAGCTTTTTAAACCTCTACCTTCACTTTTATTGACTGTCATGCACAGTAACAAACTGACCCATAGCCACCAAACTCTGCAGCTCCATGTGTTGGTCTGGCACAGTGACAGCAACCTGCAGGACAGGCATTAGGAACAGTTATTCTGAAATATGATCAGCACTGGGTTATACAAAAACATATTACAAACTTTTTCAGGTGTTCTCCTTCATCCTTTATATTTTATTTAGATTAAATTTAAAGTTCCATTTGCCTGTGTAAAAGAGAAACCTGTTCCACTTTGCATATAACAGTCCCATTGTATGAAAAATGTTAAACACTATTTCAAATCCTCTAATAAAAAAAGCTAAAGTCACACAGACTTCCCAAAACTACGCAATTCTACACACACCCTGTGTGACTGGTTTTAATGGATCAGTGTTATCCAGAAAAGAATAGTTTTTTTTTTTAATCTGCAATACCGCATGACTTACATCTACAATCATTCCTGCAGTCTGAGCGCTTATGACCGATAAACATTTTAATGTCAACAATTCTTTGATTTATCAATGTGTAAGCTTATAGTTCCTACTGATAAAGGAGAAATATATACTGTGCTGCCTTATAGATTTCTAAGGACAGATTAAAAACTATTATACCACAGTGTGAAGTGACACTTTATTTAGGGTCTCTGAAGATTTTCTTAATGTGACCAATTTGAAAAACAGATTCAAACTTCACACGCAGCAGAATACATTTGCATTCAGGGTGTGTGACTACTCAAACAATATATATAACTCCGAAAAAGATAGTGACTTGCTGTAATCTTGTATAATCTTGTTTAAATATATATTAAGCAATGTACTGAATTGCATTTCTAATTTTACAACATCAGAGATAGAGGGAAATTTTAAATTGCCATGAGCAGTTCCAACTATTTTCTTCAGCTTCCCTAGTACACCATTTAGCCTTCTCCCAACAAAATCACAGTAGATCTAAAAATGACTAATTGAAAATGTTCTTCAATATGAGTATGGTACACTTTAGTGCACGTATTCCATTTTCAAACAAAACTTTTGAAAACAAGCCTACAGAGTTCTATCATCTTTACCAAGGACTAAAGATACTTCAGCTTTTCTTTCATTACATTAACATTTCAAATCCCCCAATCTTACCCACCCAAGTAAATCATGTATTAATAAAGGAACTATATTTCACTTTAAATCAAATAAAGCACGCAGATATTGCTCACCTTCACAAGAGAGAATTTCAGAACTATATCCTGGGTCCATCAATGCTTACCTTTTACTTTCATACTAAATCCCACCGACACCAAACAGGTAGCAGAAGCGACTGAAGTCACCAGGGTGATGGACCAGCCTAAAAGTCTCCTAAATACTGAAAGACCGTATTAGTTACAGCTAAGTTTAGCTAACTTCCTCAAATGACAGGCAAACGATATGCGTCCTATAACAGGAACCAAGCCTTTTACATTGTTGAGTGTTAAGGCTGGGGGCCTTTCCCAAGAAGATAACCTCCAGGTACTCCAGAGTCAGGTAGCAAGGAAGTAAACTGTTCAAACAGATTCAAAGCTTGTTAGTCCTTGGGAAAGGTTGATCACAGAGGAAAAAAAACACGGTCATAGAAGAAAGTTGAAAATTAACTAATGAATGAGGCATGAACAGGCACCTAGTGCCTAATAAGAAGCAAAGACTAGGAGTACCTCATAGCCTCTTTAAGTAGTCACTCCCACTCCCAGAATCTTCATTCTCTCCAGACTGGTTTCTTTAATACAAAGGCAGGCAGAGACTGCCGGCAGCTACACAGCCAAATCCACATTTAGGTCTCCTAACTATAAATTAAACTACATTCTTCCAAACCCTTTTTATGAGTGGTTAAGCAAATGTTCTATTAAAATGGCAAAGTGCAAGCCTTCGTAATATGGCAACTTCTTGATTTAAGAATAGGAAAGCATTTTTAACTTCTTTTGGCACATGTGTTTTTGTTAATTCATACTACTGGACACATGGACAAGCCTCCTCATGCCCCCCCCTCAGGTTCAACTTCTCTATGGGAAGGCAACTGGCACTGGCACTGCACTAGTACCAGTTCAACACAAAAATATTAACAATCATGTCAAGTAGACTACATATAACTACCTTTATAGCACTATAGCAATACATTCACAACTCTAGACTCAAAACTCAAAAGAGTATGAGCAAACAGCAGGAATATATATGTGCTTGCATCTGAATAACTACATAAGAAGTATCAGAATAATTAATAACATCTACATGTACGAAAGGGAGGAGTTAATATTTTCTAGTTATTACTGACACAAAAACAAATCTACTAAAACTCAAAGGAAAACACTTAATGGAGAACAGGCACCACCTGACTGTGTTAAGTTGCCTAAAGCTAAACGCTGCAGCAACCTACAGGTCCCAGCAGAACATTTCAGCAACACACCTACTGGTAGCAACGTCGGCACAATTACTGTAAGTGAAGGAGTGGTAGTAATGTGATGGAAAATGGGAACATACCTTCATACTTGCAGCTTATGGAATGCCCTTTGTGATTAATACAGGTCTCCCGCTGTTAAAATACATTACTGAATGTATACAGTGCTCATCTTCAAAAAGCAAATCACTTGTAGTGGCTCACAAGCTGTTCACCTGCTGCAGAATCTGTCTCGTTAGTCTGCCAGAAAACTGGAATCATTAACAACCTGTTAACCCTACTAAGTCAGTCTGGCCATTTCCTGTTGAGAATTCTTTAGTCTCCATTCTTCTCCGCTCAGCCCACAACAATTCTGGAACACCGTCCAAAAAACAGTCCACACTCTGCCATTCCACTGCTTCCTCTCCACTGCCATTTTCCAGCTATTACTGAGCTAGCTTGCCTGGCTCCTGTCTCAAACATGCCTGCCTGCCTGCACTACAACTCCAATACTGCACAGGACCATCGGAAAATGTTGCACAAATGCAAGACAAACCAGTATGCTATTTTGGGATACGTTACTAAATATCAACAGATCCTTCCAATACATGTATTATGCAATTATTCGCTGTGTTACCTTTACCTTTTTTACATTATGCCTATTCCAATAGGAGAAAGTGATAAAAGGAGAGACTGATAAATACTATTAAGCTGTGTAACTGTGGTGTTTAGATAAGACTATTGATCTCAAAAGGTAAATCGAGGTGTATTTAATGTGTTCCATTTACAAAAGTTTGGTTTCTACTATGAAGTGATGTTAAAGCTTTTGAGTTTCAATAATAACTCTGCTGTGCCTCCTGTCGCACCTAACTGCAATTAAACAATAGTAAAGAAAATAATCTCCACCTAAACTGAGCTGGTTTTGCTGGTGAGCACTTGAGCCTTCCTTCTATACCTCAAACTGGCTAGCACTGCTATACAAAAGTGGAATTGGAGAATAAGACTGAGAGATGTACCGCAGTGCAAATATAAGCAAAAGCAGAATTAAATATTTGAAGTCTCTAAAACTTAACAACACAAACTCAGACATGTACTTTCTGTTAGCTTATTGTTTTAAGATCACATGAAAGGTTAAGCATTGAACTGCTTAATAATAAAAACTCCTTAAACTTATACAGTGCTTTTCTGGACACTCCACTCAAAGCTCCCCTCCACCAATGTGCAGCATCCACCTGGATGATGCAACAGCAGCCATAGTGTGCCAGAACGCTCACCACACATCAGCTATCAGTGGGGAGGAGGACAGAGTGATGAAGTCAATTCATACATGGGGATTGGTAAAGGTCTGGGTAAGGTGCCAGGTGGGTAAAGGTGCAAGTAAGTCTTTTATTACAAATACACTGCACTTTTTATAGGATATGATCAAATACTAATGTTTATCTTAAAATGTAATACCAAAGAGATGGGACAAAATTCTCATTTCCATACTCTTTTCACCAATCTAACAGTAAGCACTGAAGACTTTTAATGAATATACTACAAGTAAACAGGAATTACACTAATTGCTAAACAATCCATAAACAAAGACTTCTGGAAAGCATGACTCAATACATTTTTAAATGTATTAAATGTAAAACATTTATTTTCAGAACATAGGTGATTTAAGGAAACAAAGGATTCTAGGTCTTAAAAGTATAAACATACTGCTTTTTACCGACTTGGTTTGTATCAGGATAAATTCTATTTCCTGACAAGACATGTTAAGAAAAAATATAGTTCTACAGAGTTGCTCTTTGTAAATATGATTGGCCAAAGTAAATATAATTACTGCTTTGGTATTTCAGGAGCCCTGCAAAAGGATAGTACCCAAGTTAAAAAAACACAGGGTCACTAAATAGCATTTTGATAGAGAATAAAGTTTAAGGCCAGAGCACACTGCATTATAAATCGAACATTCACACACCAAGAATATGAATAAATGCCTGCAGCCCTGGTTTGTGCTGTGGGAAAGTACTAGTGTACATATTACTGCAACACGTGAAAGCATGTGCTTCACTATGGTACCATGGTCTCAAGAGCAAATTTTGCATTTGCAGCAAATAAAACTTTAAATGTATTTCTAGCTCTTTGCATGCTTTTGTGATTTAGTGGACACTTCCCATGCAAGCAAGTTTGTCATTTGTTTTAGAAGAGCAGAATAAACATGTAGCTCATTCAAAATCAATAGGACTTTCACAATTCAGTTTCTAGTCACACTCAAAAGTCAGTGTTTCTTCATATGAATGCTTTGAAGATATAGTGTAAAAAGAGCCTGAGACAGATCTTCTACTGTATTTAGTTTGTATTCTGAACACTGTGAAAAGTCTTCAAGTGCATAAACAAACCTAAACAAAGGTTTAAACCTAATGAAAGACTTCCCAAACCCTGGAGAACACAGGTCAGAAGCAAAACTAATGTGAAATGTATAATGTAACTAAATGGCCACTGACTGCATAGTGACTATTGTGAGAACAGAGGTTTACATTTAGAACTGTGACAAAATGACAGTTAAACACATAAGGTCCATTTGTCCTAAATTTGTCATATTATAAATGCCAAAATTAAAAGTCATGGTGTATTTCCTTACAGCTGAAAATGCCTTAATGAAAGAAATGGAATAGATTTCAAAGGGATCAGCAGGGAACAATGTTCTTTACAATCACCAGCAGTCAGTTAATTGGTACAGGCACTGTAGGCAGGGAAAGTCTGACACAGCCACACTGAAAGCAGAGATAAACAAGGGACTTATAGGGACTGGTGCAGCTGAAGTTCATTAAAAGACCAAGATTGAAACCGAAAGGTTGTACCCATTAAAAAAACTCCTACAGGTGTGGTGTTATTTTCCCCTTCATAATGTTTAAGTAGCATGACATGTACTAACAGAATAGCTCAGCAGATGAACTGCTTCTGTCCTTTTTAATTTCAAAATAATCCCCCTGGGAGCATTTTTAAAAAGCCAATATCAAAGACTAACAACTCTGCACAGCAAAAAAAAAAAAAGTCATACAACAGATGTTCAGTCCTTAGTTATGTTTTTAATTAAACGCGATTCACTGGAATGAAATAAATAACCTGCCAATATTTGAAAACTGGTTTACCTGTACAGAAAACTAGAAAAACGCTACAAATGAACTTTTGAATACCTGGCAATTAAAAGGTATTCAAAACTAAAATAAGTCAGCGCCAGAGAGGATTCTGGTATCTGCTGCAGCACTATACCTCTAGTATATTGTACCAGGTTTTGTGTTGTTTCTTGTTAGTCACTGCTAACCATAAATTCACACTATCCCTTATGAAGTGAAAAACCACAGTTAATTGTAAATTCTGTTGTGTTCAGTTTTTTTTAAACGCATCAGTCCCTCTCTACACGAGCAACCTCTATATGAGTATTCATTTATTTAAGATGTAGTAATTCCTGATTTTTTTTTATTTAACAAATATTTTTACTCTTATGACCTGGCTCTCTTATAGCACTGCCTACAGTCGGCTTCCCTTGCATCTTCTTGAGAAATCTATTTTTATTTCCCTTTTTTTAATTGAAAAAAGGCTTGAGTGTGTTCCGTGCATAAAGTGCAAGACAGTACCTAATGTTTATGCATTTACTAACGACTGTAACATTGTAGCTACTGTACTGTACCATGAATGAGCAGGAGTGTTATTTTTTCTACTCATTGTTTATACATCAGATAATAACTTAAAATATTTAGGAAGCTATCAGATTATAACATGGAAAGCATGTTTTAATAAATGAATCCAACTTAAACAAGATCATTCTTACTGATATTCAGAAAAATCCTGTAGCAAGATGACTGTTCTCCAGAAAATAACTTGCTATTCCCGCAGAACTGGTCTCAAACCTCCACAAAGCCTTCCTGTAATATATCTTTTCTGAAGGTTTATGAACCAGAATGACAAGTTTCATTGTTTGGAAAATAAAAACACACCCTTGTTATGCGTTTTGGCACCTTCCCTTATATCACAAAAAGTTAATTGAATAAACTGCACCATAGCAGTGAAGGATTTAGGAGGCATTGATGATGGGTTTAAGATCAAACTGAAGTTTGGCACTCAATATTTGTTCTTCCTTCAAGCAACTTTCTGATAATCAGGAAAGACATCATGTTGACATAGGCCAAGTGTATTTGTGGATATAATGTGTAATGGTGAGACTCAGGATATCTTTCATCCCTGCTACAATCTCACTCTCAAA